CAAATCTAAATTATATAGGCTGACTGCAAATGATTAAATTCGTTCAAATCACATCTTCTATTCTTTTAATAGGGTCCTGGTAGGTACACACGGCAATCGAAATACCTGGTCGGCTTACATGTGTGTGAATTGTAATTAACTCGTTTCTTCACTCATATATTTACAAATCAAATGTTTCAATACTGTTCAGCGTTATTTGTTTAGTATTTTCTATACGTATGAATATCTATACGTATGTATACGTAGGACAGTCTTGATTCGCCACATATCGGTCGGTTCGACCGGTTCACAGAAAATCGATGTTAAGTAATTCTGGAGATGTGGAGCAAAATTCAGAATCTTTCTTAAATCATAACTTTAGTTTGATCTTACACCTTTATGCGCATTAAGTGGCAGTCCATCTAATCACTTCACTTCCCCTGCCCAGGCGAGGTCATTTTGCCTGGCGGGCCGGGGCCCAACAGTTGCTGTTGGGGTGGAATTTGAAAAGCGCTGTCTTAGTTGCTGCCACTGGGTTCGATTGACGGACTGGGGGGGGAAATTTTGTAGGGTTTTTCTGCGAGAAAAGTAGCCTAAGTTACTCCTTATATAGCTACCTGGAAGTAAAATATTATCAAAATCGGTGGAGCCATTTCAAAGATTACCCGTAACAACAAACAGACAGACAGACAAAAATATTTATACTGGTTTTTAGGCATAGGTATAGTGCGAAAAAACCCCACTATTTTGACATTTTGACATGAATTTTTATTTAGTCTGTATTTTTTTCTTTTTATTGATTTATCGTTTACAAAAAATTATCACAATGACCAATACAATAACAGCAACTAAAAAAACCACTAAGCTTTATACTTGTGCTATCTTGAGTCTGTCTATAGTATAAATACAAATCAAAACTATGATCATCATTAATGACAGACTGGTGGTCCACTGCTGGACATAGGCCTCTCCTTAGAAAGGAGGTTTTGGGAAGATGGGTTCCTATAGGATTTGTGTCAAGTTTTCCTTCTCTTTCCTTTTCTATTAGAACTGTAAGGTTTGCAAATAGATGAAAATAACAATATACCAAGAACAGAAAAGAAAAATAATATTTCAACCTATATTCATCATTTAAATGCATAATTAAAAAAAAGAGTGATATTATGGATTTTATATTTTTCCTTAATATGCTATTACATAAATCTGAGGGTAAGTTATTAATTTCTTCGTTGATAGCATTGAAATATGTTTTCAGCCTGGATCATTCAACTGCGTCATAAATATTTAGCAAAAATACCCGTGCGTATCTTTAATAAACTTTTTGTGATTGCAGAAAAAACATCCAAAAGGTGAAATTATGCCGAATGTAAGTATTTGAGATAGTAATTAAGTATAAAATAGTAATTAAGAAAATATTTTTGGCAATACAAGCAATAGTCTTACTAATGTTTGAAAGTTTGTTACTCGTTCTCGCCAGAACACCTGGACAGATAATGATAACAGTTGGAATGAAAGATAGGTCCAGTCTGAAATAGCATCATGAAAATCAACAGCCTTTAATAGTCTACTGCTGGACATAGGCCTCTCCTTAGAAATACGGTTCTGTCGTTCTATACCACGCTGGCCAGACGGTTGGTATAGGGTTTGTTTCAAGTTTTCCTTCTCCTTGGAGTGTTGTTGTCTTGCGTTATCCTTTAATCGGCTCTACAGGATGCATAGGTGTGGTGACACTCTGTATTCTTAATCCGTCACTACACGGAATAACCCAATGAATACTTGAGCATTTTTTTTCCTAAAAATAATTGACAACTTCTGCATTAATGCGAGCAAAGTCGCGAGCAAAAGCTAAAGGGGTGTCACGGACTTGTGACTCCTGAGTTGCAGGTGTCTTTGGGTAATCACTTACCATCAGGTGATCCGTCTGCTCGTCATCGTCGTGCAACAGCATATAAATTTAAAAAAATCAACTTCATCATCATCAACAGCCTATAACAGTCCACTGCTGGACATAGGCCTCTCCTTAGAAAGGAGGTTTTGGCCTACTATACCACGCTGGCCAGACGGGTTGGTATAGGGTTTGTTTCAAGTTTTCCTTCTCTTTGCAGTGCTTTTGTCCTGCGTAGTTTGGTCCCTTAGTCGGCTCTTACGACACCCACGGGATGAATATGGGTGGTGACATTACGTATTCTTATTCCGTCACCACACGGACAGAATGTCGGAATAAGAATCACCGGCACGTCACCAAACGGAAATCAACTTAAACCGTTCTAATACTGTGCAACAATTTCAGTCATTCATTCTTACACATATGTTACTGTGTAATATTGGAACAAAGTTCCTTATCGCGCGTTACACGCTCTGAGCTAGTGCGAGATCGAAAAATGTGTAACAAGACTTTCTTTCGACACTTCTTGTCCCAGATCATTCTGTATTTAATTTTTCATAAATATTTTATCATAATTTTGTCAATTGAACTCTATTAACTTGATATTTTATAATAGAAATTATAATGACTGTATACCAATCGTCTACGAAAAAGCGAAAGGAATTTTATTCCAACCGGGGGTCCATAGACACCTCACGCCGTTTTATTTATTTAAACTTGATGGTGCAAAGAAAAAATATTAAATTTCTCATAGTTTGGTAAATAAGAGATAAACCTGCTTAATAAATTCATTACTAGATAACATATTATTATATGTATACAGATGTCCAAAAGTACATACAGTGCATACACACTATACTCGTATAAAGATACACATAATTAAATTTACAAACCATTTCACAGTGGGAACAGGATATCGAGAAATGGGCTGTAAGTATTTCGATTTATTCATTATATTTCTTCATCTCATTACCCGTCGGAGAGCCATACTTCGGCACTTATGGGTCCTTCATGGTGTGAGGTTTTCGTGTGCAACTTTTTCCACATGAAACCTATGAGGTTCTTCTTTTAAAAAATGTGCAACACTCGATTTTCGACTTTCAACTGTTTTTTTATTCAGTTTAGACGAAAGATGGATACTTCGAAAATCCGAGTCATTTTTTAATACGAGTTCCGACGTGGAATTAACGGCAGAAACGGCTCGCATTATCAACGCTGAGTTTGGAGAGGAGATCGCTAATGAACGCATCTTGCATTTTTTATTCAAACGCTTTCGTAATGGAAACTTTAAAGAAAGAACCATGTGGAAGACCACACAGATGAATAATGCTGAATTGAAGGAGGTGGTGGAAGCCGATCCGAGTCAAACTACCCACTACTACTTATGAATTAGTACAGAAATGAAGGAATATTGGATCGAATTGTGACATGTGACGAAAAGTGGATTGTTTACTATAACCGTAAGCGAAAAGTATAAAGTATAATGCCCTAAAGCAAAGCTTTACAAATAAAAAGGTAATGGTAACTGTTTGGTGGTCTCATCATGGTGTTATTCACTGTAGCTTTCTCAAGTCTGGTCAGACAATAACAGCAGATGTTTACAGTGCCTAACTTCAAACAATAATAGCGAAACTGGCAGTGAAGCAGCCTCGACTCGTGAATCGATCCTCACCATTATTGCTCCATGATAACGCTAGTTCTCGCCAGACCATGCTAAAAAGGACTGTCTTTTGTTTCGTGATTTGGACAATTTTCTACGTGATAAAAAATCTTCCCAGGAGGCAGTACAAAATGCTTTCACACAGTTTGTCGAATCTAAATCCCCAGAGTTCTATAGTAAAGGCATAAATGAACTTCTGTTTAAATGGCAACAATGTATAGATAATGGAGGTAAATATTTTGATATATGTAATATCTTAGAAAAACCGAATTCCAATATTTTGTACAAATCGGCAATTTCATACTTTAACCCTTAATATATATTATAATTTTACATGTTATACACCGTGTTATATGTTATACATATACACGCGTAAGTATATATATTGATAACTGATTATGTGATAACAGTGTCTCTAAGAAAACAATTACCTAAATGTTTATACAGTAGTTAAAAATTGCACAAACGTACAAAAGAGTTCTCGTTCGGTTCCGTTCAATTTCTTTTTTGTTGTGTTTTATTTGATTTTACCACCATCATCACCTTATTATTTTTTAAATTGAAACCGTTTTGTTTCCAGGGATATTCTAGACAGTTGTTGGTGCGAGATAAGGTAAGTTATTTTGTCATCTTAACAACACTAGATTCAAATTCGTGTAATTTATTTGTTGGAACATGATTTATAATGAGTATTCCAATAAGTTAGTATTTACTCAAACTCCGACAGGACGTGGGGTGTAAATCGTGGACGTGGGGTGTAAATAGGGGTGGGGTGTATTTTCGTTAAAACAGTTAGGCCGCATCGACAATTTTACGCATGTTTATTCTCTTAAACTTTGAGGGTAGACGAGCATAGAATCCATTCAGTGGTAATCAGTTTATTTTTATTGTCACCTTAAGCACCATATTCTGGGGAATCTAGTCGATTTTGTAAATTTCGATTGAGTAGTCATTGATCGTGACTATTGAGCCAGAAAAGTTCGGTTCACTGTTGGTTAGTTAGTTGTATATAAAATAATAAATTATGTAATAAATAAATTTTACGATAAAATTATGACGGTTTAGGTGATCATTTTTTTAAGATTTCATTTGATTTTGCAGTATGCGAAAGAAAAAGCCGTAAGTAAAGTTTAAATGTTATAAAACTGTAAAAGATATTAGTTCTATTGCGTCGAAGCTATTCTGAGTTCATTCTGTTATAATTTTTCTTTCTCTTTTTTAGTTAAACGTACCTGTGATGTGATGTCCTGGCCTTGACCTTTCACTCATTTTACAAATTCATTACATTTATTTCCATAAATTGCCATTCTATCTGTTACTTTAGTGAACATATTTTTTATAGTAAAAACTCGTTCATTAAATTTCAAGAATATGTTATAATTGCAAGACCACTCACTGACTATCATAGACATACGTATACATTTTATTTACTTGTAGATATGCTAAATAATGTTACAGCTACGAAAAAGCCAAGAAATGGCTAAAAAGGCAATGGCTGCTAAACCTATAGCCACACTTCCACCACCTCGACCAACGCCAAGCCCTGGTGTAAGTATTTTTTTTATAGTAAAGTAGCAAAATATAGACCTAAGAAAAATTAAACCCCACTGAAACGATATCTATGCAGGGTTGTTTATACATAGGGCTTCTTATTTAAAATGTTGCAACAGTTTGTTGTTTGTGGAAGGTAAGAATAATATTTTTTATTTAGATATTAAGTACAATAATTTATAATAAATGGTTCATTAATTTGTAAACAAAATACAAATGAAAAAAGGTATTGACCAATATGAATCTACATAACTACAATTTAATAATAACAATTCTACGGTAATTAGTACAGTAAGCAAGATGGGTTGTTGTAATACAACCCATCTTGCTTCTTTTCTAGGGTATCACACCTGAGTCCCTTGCAATAGACTCACATATCACCGTATATTGGTGGGTTCGATTTCGACGTACGTACTACGTCACCGTGAGGAGTGAGGTGATGATCAGTAAAGGTTTCAACACGAAAAAAGAGCTGGAGTGTCATTTTTATTTCTTGACTTCCTTCCTAAAGAATTTGGTTTTCAAATGAGAAAAAATAAAAAGTGTGTGTCAGCTCCGACGCACGATTGGAGTTTACTTCTTAAGAACGATTCCGTTGCACACAAGGCTACAAGTTATACGCACACATGTAAAAAGTTGCGCGCAATAGGTTAACGTAACGTGGTCATTCGATGACTAAATTTTACTCTTCATATTTTTCATGCCAGGCGCCTTTTATAAAAATCGATTCTTAAGGACTAAACTCTAAAAACTTCATATTATATGACTAACAGTTCACGAGGATAGCGTCTTCAACTAAAAAGCAACTGTACAGATTTATTTACCTTACAAGCCTTTTAGATGTTTTTACTTTACAAATGAAATGATAATAATAACAACCTCACACATCTCACACGCGGCAGTCTGATCCCAAACTAGGCAGAGTAACCAGACCGCTGATAAACATACTTATATATTTTTAAATACATACATATTGCAGAAAAATTACACCCAGACACAGAAAAAAATGACCGTGCTCTCACAATATTTGTTATAGGTGGGAATCGAACCCACGACCTCCGGCTTAGCAGTCAGGGTCACTAACCACTAAACCAACGGGTCCGTCTAAATTACCTTTATGAATTTTAAAAATTTCAGATGGAAATGTACTGGGGTGATAATTCAAAATCTGGAAAGAAGGTATGTGACAGACAATGTAATATTTATTTTAGTTTGATAAAAGTTTATAATTTACTAGCTGGTACACTCGACTTCGTTCGCGTGGAATTTGAAAGAATCTGCTTTAGCCCGGACATGGCAAAATTTTATAGGTTTTTTCCGAGAGGCAAAATAGCCTAAGTTGCAGGTTATATAGACAGCTATCTGGTAGTAAAATATTTTCTAAATCGTTACAGCCATTTAGAAGATTACAAGGAACAAACAGACAGACAGTTTTTTTAAAACTGGTTTTTAGGCATATGAGTCGTGCAAATTACAGTGTGAGCATGAAAAAAACCTGTTATTTTGACATTACAGACTGACACCTCAGTTTTATATATTTGTGTAGATAGATATACACGCACGTACGTCTTTTATCCCCGAAGGGTTTTTTTTATGGTATAGGAGCAAACGAGCAGACGGATAAGTGATTACTGCCTCCCATGGATACTCCCAACTCTAGAATCACAAGTGCCTTCCCATTATATGATTCCCCCTTTCAAAATTAGAGTGAGGTGGGGGAAGGGGCTGGGCTTTCGGTAACCGCACTCACTCGGTAAAAAGGAACGACACAATTGCTTAACCCTGTGGCGACTCCCACATACAAAGAAACGGAACGTACTACAGCTCCATCTATCGAAGAAACGAAAGACACACCGAACTATGGAGTAACTCGTGAATGAGAATTGCTCGTGATATGAAGAATTCTCTCGCCGATTAACATATATACAACTTCCCAATATCAACCGTTGGGCCGCGGCCCGCCAGGCATGATCACGGTTTCTGTAAAGCCGCAGTGTTACTACGGTCGAGCCGGCTCAAGTACCTTCCTAGGATATATAGTCTAATTCCTTGCGCTACGTATGATATAGCATATGATTTTAGTCGGTTCGATCCCATGGTAAGTTACCCGTGCGGGTTTCCACACTGTATAAAATTGAATACAACACTTCACACTAATATTATAAAGGTAAAAGTTTATGACTGTGAGTGTTTGTTTGTTGTAGTTGTAGTTGTTGTTTGAGGTAGCAGTCACTCTGGATTAACATATAAGCTAATTTTTATCCCGGAAAATGTAGTACTTCCGTGGGATGAGCATGGAATTGAAATATATTTGATAAACCGCGGATAACACGGTAATATTGGTGTTAAACTAAAAAAACGTTGTCAAAAAACATTTCTTATTCTGAAAACGTAGTACTCTACAGGACTAAACTATTTTTAGTGACTTTTAGTTTAGTTTAGACAGTTTTCGAACAACATAATTAGTACCATTGTCTGCGTACTGATCTTGTATTCGATGTTACGGTGATGTATTATACTAAATTACTGAAGGCTGTAAGTAGTAAAGCCAGTGGTGCTAGTTGAAGTAAAGTGACTTCTTCCTCTAGTGAATCTTACTCTATTGTGTGATAACACCTTAAGGCTTTAAACTTAGAGATGCTCTAGTATTCGTGGACGATAAAGCGTTTAAAGGTGTATAGCATTAAACAATATTATTACATAGGTGGTTACACTGGTTGTGATCCCTAGATCAGTTACATTTTTATGGGCCGGCTCGACTGGAGTGATGCTACGGGCTCACAAAAAGCCATTTTTTGTTGCATCGAATAATATAATGTTATGTATTTTTTATTTTATTTTCAGACGACTGCTCAAACCAACACAAAACCATCACAAGCAGTGTCATTCATTAAACCGAAACCCTTCTATACCTACGATAGACCTCCAGGTTCGCGTCGATCTATACCTGGAATAGGTGAACCGGGTTTCCCCATCGATGAAGACCCTACTTACGCCGGTGAAGAAGATCCAAGGAAATATGGAGCCATGGCTGGATTAAGGAATGTTAGTAAAGATTGAAATAACTAAGCCTCTTAACGAGAACTTGTCTTTGTTTAGACTCCGATTTGGATTCGATTCCAGGTTACACCAAATGGTTAATAATTTTTTCTACTAAAAATATAACTATGAGCGTAGTCGAAATTCGTATTTTGCAAAGTACAAGAATCAAAGGTCCACGTAGCCTTAAATATTTAAATGGTAAAATGTTGGGCCAGAATACACCTCTGTCAATGCTTCCCTAACATATTACTTTTGCCCATGGCTTCAGTCATGTGAAAGTTATTTTTCTATCCTGTCCTCTGATAATATGTATATAATAAATCATGGTTATCGGTTCAGTAATTAAGATATGACCACGTAACAAGCAAACGAGGAAAAACCTTACTTAGCATTTATAGCACTAATAAAAATTAGAATTCACGAGAGTAAAAAAGTTATCACATAAAAATTCCCTAAACAAAGGTTTGATGATTAAAACGAAGGCTATAGACAATGAATACAGACTAGAAATGTGTTTAATTTCCACAGAATCCTACCTCAGGGTACATTGGTGATAAGCCATCACTTCGGTCTGGTGGTGCATATGTAAGTAACAGTTAACGGACATCATTTACCATAATCATGACTGTCCTTGTCCAGCTAGATTTGTGAATCAATTAAGAAACTACTGGTTTAGTAGCTTTTACTCTTAGCCAACATAACTTAATTTTCAAAGATCATTTAGTGTTTAATTTATTATTATTTATTTAAAACATAATAAATATAAATTATAATGACTGTATAGCAAACGTCTACCAAATAGCGAAAGGAACTTCGATCCAACCGGAGGTCCATAGACCCCTCACGCCGTTTTTTTATATATATAATAATAACCGCACACATCTCACACACGGCCGTCTGATCCCAAACTAGGCAGAGCCTGTGCTATGGTGACCAGACTGCTGATAAACATACTTATATATTTTTAAATAGGTACATGCATATTATAGATAAATTACACCCAGACACAGTACAAATGACAGGGCTCATCACACAATATTTGTCCTGGGTGGGAATCGAACCCACGAGCAGTCAAGGCCACTAACCACTAGACCAATAGGCCCGTCAAATACACATAGTGTGCTTAGTCAAGTTACTCTCCACTAAAGAGATTCAAACTAAGCATAGCTTACACCAATACGAATAGATACATTCATGTATTAAAATATTCCTGTTCAGTATTGAGCTCAATCAAGGCCAACGACGGACGGACGGACGGGGCGGGTTGACGGATTAAGAATACACACCACGCTTATTCATCCCATGGGTGTCGTAAGAACCGACTAAGAGAGCAAACTACGCAGGACAACAGCAGTGCAAAGAGAAGGAAAACTAGACACAAACTCTATACCAACCCATCTGGCTAGATTGTAAGCCAAAACCAGTGGACTATTAAAGGCTGTTGATGATGATGATATTTTATCCTATCTATATTGTGATATTTCAACATTTTTTTATATTATATCATACGTATTTATGCATACAACGAGTTCTTATCAAAATATCCACTGATATGTATATTTTAAATATGCATAAATCATCACCATCAAATTCTATTCTGTAGTACTCTAAAAATTACCGTCCTAAGGTTATCTGATCGCTACTATTATATTATTTCTCTGTTCATATTATTGTTACTACTGGTGTATGATAAATAATTATGTATCCATTCATTTACATCTATCTAAATTCCAAGCGATCACCTAACCTGGTCGGCCACCATTTCATAATACATTTTAAATTAATTATATTTAATATCTGAACAATCTGTCTGGTTTCAGCCTGATTATTCTGCAGATTACCCGGCTGGGCATGCATCTAACATACAATTTGCAATACCTGGGGAACAAGAAAACCGAGTAATGAAACCGTTTAGCTCTGGAGCGCTTAGAAGTGGACCATCGGGTGGAGCGCCACCGTCTCGTAATATGCCAGGTGGTCCGCCTGGTTATGGTGGACCGGGAGGTTCACCTGAAGGTGGACTTAGAAGTTCAGTTGTAAGACGTGGACCTGGGCGCCCACATGGAAATGGTGGTCCTGGGAATTCGCCTGGATATGGTGGGCCTGGTGGTCCTGGAAATTCACCTGGCTATGGTGGGCCTGGTGGTCCTGGGAATTCACCTGGCTATGGTGGGCCTGGTTTTCCTAGGAATTCACCTGGATATGGTGGGCCTGGAGGTCCACCTGGGTACGGAGGACCACCAAGTCCACCAGGTTATGATAGACCTAGAGGTAATCCTGGATATGGTGCACCTGGTGGTCCACCACCATTTCGCGGACCACCTGGACTGGGTGGACAGCCCGTTTATAATCCTGCACGTATGGGACTTAGAGAAGGAGGTCAGCCAGATTATGTAAGTATCCAGTTTAAGTATTTTTAATAACAAAGTTGTTTAACTACTAGCTTGTAAGCAGTTTTAATTAAATTTAAGAACAGCAGGTTCATTCGTATTTTCTATAAGATTTATTGATTGGAATAGATTATTTGGAGTGAGCATAATATATTTTACGGGCTTTTATGATGAGATCAGGATTCAATCAGAATTAATTTCAGCGCCGTCTAGCGAAGAATTGTTGAAGTACATAGTGACTATAAATCCTGAATCGCGCTATTAAATTTATCATTCTTATGTGAATACTTCAATCACTTTTCTCGCATGTGGTGTTTACCAAAAAATTATTGTAAATTTCGGGAAAGACTTCCTAATAGTACTCGTAGTAATAGGTTTTGTTTTTTCTTACCAAAATCTGTATGCCATGAAACCTCTTTCATATACTTCGTACTATCAAAAGTGTTGTACAAACTGATGGCGTTAAGGTTGCTTTTACACTGGTCAGTGATGGTGACAAGTCAGTGTAAAGTTTTCGTATCTAATGAAGGAAACCATAAAGAAACAATGTTTATTCTAAAGATTCATTTGAAGTCCAGAATTAAAATGAGTGAGTTAATATAATTACGTACGAATTTTCTGTAGTTATAGACGTTTTTATTGAGTTACCTAAATAGTAAGTTTTGAATATTTACCATTACTTATCATGAGATAAAAAAATAGTTTTTGAAACATTCAATTTTTTTATTATTTTAACCGTTCTACTCAAGTGATTGGCAGAAGGTCTAATGTAACTAAATGAGACTTTTGAGAAATTAAAAAGGGCACATTTTAAGTACATCACATACATACAAAAAGAAATTGAACTACGACTAATTGAACACGACCGCGTGGGGAACAAGTTTAGGCCATAGATCGATCGCAAGGGTTGCCGAGAAGTCTAAGAACTCTAACAAAATATTTGAACCTATCTTCTTCTGGAGAAGTTAGACATTGAAAACACTTAATGAAAAACAGTAACGAAGACGTCTTTAATTGCGATTTAACTTCTTTAATTGAAATACCGAGAATTAACTAAATACGAATAAAGTATATAATATAGGCGTGCTAAGAAGAAGTTAAATTTAATTAGTTATAAGAACAACTGAGTTTTTAATTGTGAAATTTAAATTGCTTTATTTTTTGAGCAATAATAATAGTGTCTGATATTTGTAGAGTTAGAATGTGTCATGCAAGAGACTAAACAATAGAGTGATCTCCTTATCTGTTTTCCTGTAGCTCAATAGAGAAGAAGAAAATATGGTGCGGATGGCTGAAGCTATTTTGGAGCGTGATTATCCATCACTAACGGTTAATTCTGGAGAAAGAGTCAAGATGTTTGAAAAAGAGCTTGGAGAGAAAGTAAAGAAACTACAAGCTAAAGGATAGTTACAAAAGCGTTTTTACAAAATTCCAACTTAAGATTAAAGTTGAAAAAAGTTGCTGCCGAAATCTTAGAAACTCTATAATATAAATGAATTGATTTATTGTCCAAATAGTAACCTTATATAGTCCAATACTAACTACAAATATATTTTAAGTATAAAAATTATGTTGTCTTTAATTTTCTATTATCTGTATGAAATCTACATGATTTCAAAATCTTTCAAAATCAACGTGATAATTTGGTTAAGGCAATTTTATGCAAAAATCATCATCTCATTTTCTATTGTTTAGCGTTACCTTCCGAACTTTTGTAACTTTATATTGAAAACTATATTAACTGAACAAAGACTAGATTCCCAAACAGCAATGCTTATTGAGCATCGCTAATAATTTGCATCACTTGCTTTGGTTTCTCCACAATTTAAGCACCAATCCTAAAAATCTTCTCATTGTATGAGTGGAATGAAATAAAGCCAAAACCTCTTCCATGGGGATTTCGAAGCCAGCAAATAAAAAAGGGTGACTGATACGCCGCCATGCCGCAGGAAATAGTAAAGGCTTATGAGAAATTATTTGCAGAGGTAGAAAAAAATAGAAGAATACAAGTCGCTAAACTAAGGAAGAATTAAACATAAAAATACTGAAAAAAAATCACATGGTGTTTTAAGTTTTTTTTATTAGTTTTTTGGGTTAAATGTGAAGTGCTGTTATGCAAACTCTTTCATTTTATTTACTTCTAAACATTTCTAAGGATAGGGCCTATGTACAGCAGTGGACTATTAAAGGCTGTTGATGATGATGAAACATTTCTTGCGTGTTGAAATCGTACCAAATGAAACAGTGGTGTGCCATACTGCAATTAAAACAGAAAGAATCCGGACATAGCTTTGTTAAGACATAGCTTCAGAAACAATTACACAATCCAAAAAATCAATACCTTTATTGTTGAATGTCCTTTCACAACTAGATAGTACAATGCTCCTTATTACTGAAAGTGTTATGTAAATAGACTTTAATTATATAATATTTTAGAACATACTAATTAAATTGGAAAATTTTAAAATGAAATAAGATGGAATAAATTCTTGTAATCTCTTTACTCTTAGCCTCAGCAGGGATGGGCAAGCTCTCAACAACAACCACAGTTATCTCCGAATAGATTGGCTTCAGGGGTGATGCCCAAGAGCGGATCACTGGTGGAAAAACTGGAGGTTTATAAGAAAATGTGGGATGACTTAGAAAGGAAATTAGAAGCTCAAGGCAAGTTGTCTTAAGGCCAGGCTTCTTAATTTAATTCGACTTTTACGCTCATGGAATAAAAACAATTGATCAGACGAACTAGACAGAACTGTTACTTAAAGGAATATATATTTTTTCTATGTTAAAATACATTTTATCTCGATTAATAAAATTGCCTTTTATAACCTCCCATCTCTTTTATTTATTCTTACCTGGTCCACGTAAAAACCTCTAGGTAGATGTGTCTGCAAAGGACTCTGAGCTCTAAATGTCACTCAAAACCCTTTAAGAAATCTGTTATACAAGCTTGGAAACCAATCGCATAGGATTGTCCTTATAATTTTCACGTGTCGAACGCGTTTAGACATTTCATGTAAGGATTATTGCCCAATTTTATGGCGCATACATGTTATTCTGAATGCTAGATAAACATTTACGACGACATAGGACTGAATGGGAATCGTTACTACATTTTCTTGTAAATGATGACTTCAGTGTCCCTATTCCAGTAGTTTTTAACGAAGGACTCCTGGAGTGTTTAAGTATAAAAACAGTTTTTTGCCCAGTGATATTGCATAGGTACAAATAACCTATTATTTTGAAATTACAAACAGACACTAATTTTATTTATTTGTATAGATTAATAATAATAAATAATAAAAATGTTTATTTCATCTCCACAAATTACATTTTGTTTTATATTTAACAGTTGACAGGAAAACTGTCAAGAAATTTGCAATTTGTGGGAGATCTGGAGTCTAAACTAAGCCGAGGCCTGTACTATACATCTCCAGGCCCCCCATTACATAACACTTAGCAGATTTGTCAACATGTCAAAAGCGTACTAGAGTGTGTGAATGAGTAAACAGTAAAAAGATTTTGCATTAAAAATATATATACGAATGGTTGCGCTGTGAGGGCGTGTGTGTGTGTGTGTGTGTGTGTGTGTATGGGCGTCTGGTGTGTGGGTGTGTGTGTGTGCGTGTGTGTGTGTGTGTGTGTGTAGCGTGTGTGCGAGGATGGTTAGGACTTGTACTTTTCTTTTTTTTTTTTTTTTTTTTTTAGAGTATCAATTTTGCTTAAATTTTCGTCCGTGGTATGTAGATAGGTGTATAAATAATAAGCATAAATAAATGTGTTATAAATTAAGTAATACCTATAGTGATATATAAAGTTTAATTTCAGGAGTGTAACATATGCATAAGTATACATATACAAACTCATACGTACACGCAATGAACATATCAATCTATATTCTTACATCTAAGATTTTTTCTGTTTCCGAGTAACTAAGCTTCAGTAACCATTTTTTAGATTATTGATCTATAAAGCAATGTCAGTCATTTAGTTATTTCAAAACGATACCCGGCATGATAATTCATGATCGTCATCATCTCAGTCGAAAGACATGCACTGCTTTACATACGCCTCCCCAAGGTTCGCCACAATAACCAGCCATGAGCTGCCAGCAAACGGCTTCCCGCGACCTTCACCAGGTCGTCGGACCTCCTTGTAAGGGCCTGCTTAAGCTCCATCCTCCGGTACGTGGTCGCCACTCGAGTACTTCTTGGCCTCGTTTCTTTGTAGCGTTTATGGTACTTGAATACAATAAATAAACCTCATTCGCAGGTCACTGTACACGTAAACACTAATGTGCATAGTTATCTGTAATACAATTTAAAAAGTTTATAAAAAGATAAAATTGTTTCAGAAACCTTACTTTAGTCTTAACGATTTTTAAATGACAAGGCTGCTTGGCAGTGACATGAATTGTCCGTTCTCGTTAACTAATGTTGTATCTTGATTGTAACAACATTTAATAAATATGGTAAGAGCCTGACTGGCTTCTTCTGAGTCAGTCGCCAATTGGAAGCTTCAGTACTTCAGTAAAAAATATCAAAAGAGTCATGATTGTAACAGAAATAAAGTTTTTTGCCTTTAAAAAAAACCAGCAGTGTAATATTGATACTTTTCAATTTATCAACATAATAAATAATACGTGAGGAAATTTCTTTAAAAGTATTTAAAAAAAACCGCCGAGTTCTTTAAAGTTTATATTAATTAGATGAAGTGCAGAAAGATAACAAAACAATATGTGCAAAAAAAAATTAACAGGCTAATCTAACGAAAAAAAAAAACAAAAAACTCGACTACTTGAAAAATACCTTTTCCTACCTTACCTAAATTACCTTTAAATTTTGTTAGGTAATTTTTTAAATTATAATTAGGTCTTTTAAAACTACAAGTTTTTGGCGAGAGTTGTAATAAAGGAACTGGTTTCTTCATCAGTCTGCAATAATGTTTAGAAACTTTGGTAACTTCTATGTATATTATACGTGTGAATCAAAACTTTAAAGCGATTTATTTTTATAAAGTATGACACCTTTTAGTGCCCTTAATCGGTGCAATTCGATGGACATGTGGGCGACCATTTAAACTGCCACACACACTTACACTTAATACTAATTAACTATTTAACTCCAGTCAAATAAGTTTAATATAGTTTCAGTAACTAGTACTATTTTAGGCAAAAAATGTATATTGTATGTATATGTATATATAGGGTATATGCCTATTTTGCTTTATATTCGTCTCCCGCTTTCCCGCTTTTCGAGAGAAGCGGAATAATTATGTTTCCAACTTCTATAATATTTACTTCAGATTAATTTCGTTGCGGGTTCTAAAACAGTTTAACTTTTCCCGGGACTTCCCGAGTGTCATTTCTTGGTGTGCGTGGGTCACTGATGTTGATCCTGGTGTTCAGGAATGACAGTAGTGGGCGTGTAAGATGGATTATGATCATAGTTACAGTAAAATTAAACCGGGTAAAAATCATTGCCTATTAATCTCAATACATGTAAAATCACATGAGTGTCTTATGTTTACTTCTACAAATGAGCTAAAGACGCTTTTATTACGTAGCAAGAAAGTATAATATATTATGAATAGATTGATTGATATGATTTTCTATGCATTGTTGCTTTTTAAGTATTATAATATAGATGATCTCAAAAAAGGTTCTTCCCTTATTATTTTTATCAAACAAATTAAATTATCTGTCTATTTTAGCCTGATTACGCATTGGGGACTTCTCAGCATCGAGCAATTACATCTCATGGTCTAAGGGACCAGGGAGCGGGCCAGACAGAATCACCCGAGGACCAACTCAAAGGTTATGATAGAATGTGGCAAGAATTAGAAAAGAGTTATCAACCAGGAAGCTCGTAGGCATCGACCATCTTTTCTTACCTCTTTCTAATAAAAAATTAGTTTGACTAAAGAAAGTTATTAGTCAAAGTGATTTGTACATTGTTTTGTCCTAGATTAGAAATATTTTAATAAAGGTCTATATATATGTTCATCAGACTTTAATTTTATTTTTCTTTTTTAAATACATATAAAGGGTAAACTTATAAATCAATATATTTTTGATATTAAAATATATATTCATACTATAAAGAACACCGGCACGACGTGTCATTTCGTTATATTTTTGCCAAAAGTACAAGCTAAAGTTAGTCGGACATTTTTTTTTAAATGGGAATACTATAACTCATGTACACCAGGATGAACAGCAGTGATCCACGAACACATCGAGTTTTGATACTTGGGAAATCCCAGGAAAAGTTAAACTGACTCAGAACCCGCAAAGAAATCAACCAGCGGCAAATTGCAGCAGTTGGAAATATAATATTTATCTATTCACTTATTAGGAACTAGCTATTGCCCATGACTTCGCTTGCATGTTTATTTGAAAATGTCGAACTTCCATATAATCGTTTATTCTTTATTTTACATAATTAGAGATGACTTTTCAAAAATCCTTTTAGTGGGTGCTTATACTATAAAAAGCAAAAGCTACCAAAATTTGAAATTTGTAACCGCAGCGGTTTAGTCGCTGCGTTGATAATTTAATCAGTCAGGGCAGGTAAATACATATATATAGATTTATAAACTACACACTAAAGATAATATCAACGAATGGCTAAATTAACTATGATTTAATATGTAACGCAAAACTTCGATCTGCGGATACTTATCACCATGCAAAAGTCAGTACTTCAAAAAACGTGAGTCATTGATTTGATATTTCGTCACACAATGTAAACCTAACCTATCGCGTATACTAGTGTGTGTAAACTGTATTAAGTGTAACGTAACGTGTCTGCGACAAGGGGAATAACCTTAAACTGACTGTCAATACTGATGGTATGGAGTATTGTTTGATTGACTACAATCCAGTTTTTTCCTGTATAAAGTACTAATTTTCGGTTCGGTTAAAAATTAGGAAAATTGTGGGTATAATGAAAGGAAAGAGATGAACGATATATTATATAGCTTACGCATCATGCTTGCGAAAAAGTGGGTTCATACCCACCAGTACACTACTCCTTCGAATCCACCTCTTTCGAACCAACTAAAACAACACGGTGTTTCATACTGGACCGAAATTCGATTCGACTTTAGAGAAAAAGATCTTATATAGACGACTTCCAGGTACCTGTAAAGCCACTCTTTCCTCAAGCATTTATCTTAGCTGGTTGGGCTAAAAAGGATCCTGGTAATGTGTGACCTACGTTTCTGTTATTCCCATGAGTACACATCCTCCAGAATATTAAATTCTTTGGTGCTTCTATAAACTGCTGTATTTCGTGCTCAAATTCTTATTTAAGAAACCATCGATTCGTCGTTTCTGTAGCTTATTAACAGCCATCAAAGTAGAAGAAGATTGTCAATTCACCCTCTACTTAGCCGTTTACATCAATCAGGCGGCTGGTTCTAAAAAAAAGCCAAACCCTATTAAAATTATAACACGTTGCACCAATCTAACAGAAAATTCGGTAAATTGCAGGATGTACATTATGATAATGATTAAAGAAGTTATTTTGTCCATAGAATAGGTTCGGTGATGCACCCCCAAAAAGTGGAGTAAACTTACAAGGATCCGGAGCGGTGAGGAAATATTTACATTTCATTTTGAGTCAACTTAACTTAAATAAAACTCACCCATTTCCCCTTCCAACCTTACATACTC